GATATATTTATAGTTTTAATGTTTTTTGTAAGTCACCCAGAGTCCCCTATTGTGGGGGAGAAATCCAACAAATAAATAAAATAAATAAAAATGCAAAAACTAATTAAAACTTCAAAATACAGTTGAGCACCACAAATGCCTTAAGAAAAGACCCAATCTTCAACCATTCTTCTAGAGCAAAATGCACCTGTATTCAACTCCAGGTGTTTACACCGATGCTTGACCTCTTTTGGTCTTTGTCTCTATTCCTGTAAGTTTACCAACAGCTGTTGCTCTTCAATTGCAAGAGAAACCATGTATTAGTGATTGGAAAAATTCTGGCTTAACATTCACATTTAGTTCTGACTTAGCACATTTTCTGCCTCCAAACTTCTTGTTGTTATTATTTATTTCAATTTATTATAGCAGCCCACTCCCATAGACTCTGGGCAGCTTACAAATACAAAACAATAAAACAGTTACGAACATAACAACCCCACAGGCAGCACAGATTAAAACAATCAAATAATAATAAACCAAATGAGGGGTCCCACAAACACATCACCCCCAGGTCCAAGACCAAAGGCAGGTTTTCAGTGCTTTTTGGAACCCCAGGAGGATGTTGTCCCTATGGGGGGGGGGTTCCAGAGGGTGAGGGCTGCAATGGAAAAGGCACTTTCTCGGTCCCATAAGGCAACATTGAAGAGGAAGGGCCCGGAGCACACTCGCGCTGCCGGAACATAATGGGCTGGCAGAAACAGAGATGCAGTATCGCTCTTCTGGCCATCAATGCAGCCTCTTGTGGGGTCAAGCAAGTGCTTAAGCCAGGCCCCAAAGGGCAAAAGGTAACACCTTTAGGAAATTCTTCTTCCTCTGAACTTCCATTCCTGATTCTCCCTGCATAGCTCTGGAAACAGCTCTTAGGTCCTGGCAGGCCTGTGGCTCAGCCCCAGGATTTCCAGGCCAGTGCTGGGACAGTTCACAGAGCCTCTGGCCTTTGGCCACACCGTCTCCAACCTCTGGAAACTGCAACGGCATAAGGCCAATTGGCTCTACTAAATCACTGCAGCTAACCAGAGCAGGGAAGAATTAGCAGGCTGGACTTCCTATAAGTCCATAAATAACATTTGGGGGAGGAGTGTCCTTCAGGAGAATATTGGCAGTAATTCCCCTCATCCCCCAAAGGTGAGGCTGTTGAGGGATTTACAGGAGCCGAAGTTAGCACTACCTGGAGGGATCCAGATTAGGGAGGGCAACTAAAAACATTTTAGTTCTATATAATGTGGCCATACCAAATTTCTCAACCAGTATTTTGATTTATTGCATTCAGTAGCTCCCTTCTTGTACCTTGAGAATGTGAGAAAAACATCTCCAAATTACCTAGTTTCATGCCCTTCGGGGGTACAAGGTTAGTCTTTTTCCATAGCCTACCCAGTTCCTATCCAGAATGCAGGGAATTAAACATGGATAACACTGGGTTTACTTTTTCCTCTTCTTGTGGATTTGGCCTATCTGAACACCACGGTCCATTCAAGGCTGCTGTTGTGCCTTTGATGGACAAATGAAGGGTTGGGGTGCTTTAACTGCATGGGAGATATCCTACTCTAATGGTGCGTACGGGTTTCTTATTTTGTTTCTGTTTATGGTCTTTTCCCCCCACAATTCAACCAAACAAACTGAACAACCTGAAAGCAGCTCCAGAAGTCACTTATCCAGGGTGCTTTGGAAAACCACTTGCGGCTCCTCCTTCCTGTCAGTCAGCTAAGACTGAAAATGAGCTAAGACAGGCCCCAGGCCCTTCTCTTTCCGTGAGCATCTCAGTCCGCGGTCCATCTGTCTCCCAACGCTGCCTGACAGACCCCGCAGTGGCTGCCCTCCCATGGCAGCAACTGCTCAACATCCGGGAGAAGCCAGTCTGGGGGCTTTAGGGTTGAGCGGACTTTCCATACAGCAAATGTGCCTACAAATGTGCCTGGCTCTGAGACAAAAAGGCAGCCTAAATACGCC